TTTTAGTCTTACCTCCTACTCTTATCCAATCTGATTTATACATCGCCACTAGTCCGTACCCATTCATTTGCCAGAAACCTCGATGTTCCACAGAATTACTTCCTTGATCTAGGCGGCCCACTGCCGGGAAATAAACCATACGACCTGCAATAGTGTTCTAAGGAGAAGGAGAGATAATATTTACTACTATTTGATTTCATTGCTTTAATCTTTTTCCAGGAGCCTTTCTCTGAGGTATGAATGGTGATCTTAGTTTTTCACTTGGCACCAGTTTAGCGTTCGCCAAAGACGAAATTAAACCTTTGTTGAGTCCGTCTGCGAAACGGCGCCAAAATCCTTGTTCTGGGTCTTCAGCTTGCTTCCTCCACAGGTTTTCCCAAGGCTAAGTGGGGACTGGGGAACACGGGAGAGCTGGAGACAAGCGAGAAACGGGGGATGCTGGGAACGAACGAGCGCTTTCTCAAATATCCCTCAAAAGTGATCGCGAGCGACTGGGTACGAGGCTGGGTCTACAGCTGTGTTTCAGGATTTGAGTACGCGCCATGATTGCCGATTTGCCAATCAGGTTGAAAGGAAATTCGAGACGCACTTCCGGTAATTCGTTGAGTCCGCTGGGTACCCAGTTCCCAGAATATGGATACCGGCGCTCCTTCGCAGACGTTACTAACCGAGGTTAAATTATATTTGAACGTCATCTGTGACGCAGAGTACACCAGTTTTGTGGCTAATAAAGGAAAAGGGAAGTCAGTTAGTTAGAAACAATTATTGGATGAGGTTTCTGTGATATCCAGAATCATGAAGTTCGAGGTAAGTGTTATCAACCAAAGGTCTCGGATGATATCACTTACAGAGCTTGATTATTCCGCAAATCACAGAAACCGAATCTAACAATCGTTTTTGAGCTCACTGGCTTAAGGCTCTCTGCTATCGTCAGTGAATGAATGAATGAATGAATCAATGAGTGAATGAATTTGTAAGGCCCTTTCTATCAATCTCGAACGTGGAGAAACGCTTGACCTTCGGAGCCGAAGGGACTGGGTTCGATACCCGCTATTTCCTATTTTTTTACTCCGTTTTATAAAGCGTTGTAATGACAAGGTGGAATGGTGATACTGGTTGTGCTTGGGACAGTTTAAAGAAGATATTATGCTCCGTTATTTTAAAAATGTACGGTGTTTTGGGGGTGGAGCGTTGCGTGACGACACTAAAAACGGCTATGTAGGAGACTAACGGTCACACGGAACACAGATTGACATCATACCCCCCCCCCCCCCCACATAACTTTCTAATGGTCCGTCCCTTAGCACTATAAATCCGGGGTTAATTTTTAATCCGGTATCTTTTTAATTTCTTTTGTTCAAAAGCGTTTTCTCGAAAATTGTCTCTATACTTTCGAGAGCATACCTTAATTAATTTGGAGAGAAAAGGAATGAAACTGAATTTGCCTTTTAAGAAATTCTAAATACCAATTTCGCCCAAACCTAGGGTTATCTTACCCAGGTTTTTTTTAATGCACAAATAGACATAAAACGTGCATCTAAATTAATTATAAATTCGTTTGTAACAAATCTACCGAAGATATGCAGCCAGTATTTGGTCTACTTACAACATGCTTGGGATTTTGCAACACTTGACTTCATTTTGGGCAAGATGAAGATGGCTTCCAATACAACTTAGTTGAATTTTTTTCTCGGGGATTTTTTCTCGAGGATCAACACCGGTTCACTGATTGGTGCAAGGAAAATAACCTACGCACATTGTCCATTCTCCGTCACTGTCTTTGAAATGCCCATGAAGAGGTTCTCACAAGGCGGAGAAATTTGCTTGTTCCTTTTGAGGTAATTCAAACGTAAATGCGCAAAATGTCTTTATTACATTTGCAGGAAAAAGAATAACTGCTACCTGGTTTTCGGTGATAAAAAAGACGTTTTTCGTTTTCAAAAAAGATAAAGTTTAAACTCAGTTGGCTAATTGCACAGGAAGACCATGCTCCACTCAAGGAACACCAAAGTAACGGGGGCTAACAAAGTAAAAGAGTGAGCTGTTAGCTTTAAAATTACGACAAATTTTGTCGTAAGACTTTAAATGCAAAAAAAACGAAAGCTGTTACTTGATTATTAACTTTTAAAATAGAACCTTTTTATCAGATTTCTGTTAGCTGCATGGGTGAAAAATATATTTGTACTATAACAGAATTTACAGCCAAAATAGATCCCTCTTATCAAACAGTTTTTTCTCGTTCAAATGCTATCTTCAAAGAACCCGTACGTCCAACATCTATTTTTTGATTGATCCCAACACCAAAAGAGGTTGGTGCAAAAATCTTTAGTCAGATACTTAACCGACCAGCAAAGGTTTGCTAGTAGAATCTAAAGTGTGTCCAGCTAGCTGTTCTGACAGATTGTAAACACCATCGTTTGTCCCTTAACAAAAGATATTTGAGATATAGTGGAACTTTTGATTTCCGAAATGATCTAAAAACAAACTTGTTAATATTATATATCCCTGAATCAAGTCGGAATACCCAACACCGAAATAACTAGAATAAACTGAATAAATATTCATGATTACAAAGAGAAGCGCATACAGTAAAACAGACTAAGCAAAAATGTGCCCTTACATCGGGCTCATCAAAGACAAAAAAAAATTGCGGCGGGTTTTGTTTTTTTTTTCTCAGTGAAACGGCTGTTATTTTGGTTTTGCCTCATGATCACAGTAGATTATTAGGCCTGGAAAACAAATTCTTCCCACACAAAATAACTCAATCGCCCACAGACACCACCTTTAATATATTAGCTTAACTGGACAGATGTATTTCGGGTCTTTGCTTCCCTCCGCCCGAAAAGTTAGGTAGGGATAAGCGACGACTCAGAATACGTAATAATGACTGTCTGTGCATCCTGGTTCGTAATCCTGTCTAATTCCACTTTTTGGGGGGGTGGTAGTGATGATAAAGGCCTGGGTACTTGTTTCGCTCTACTTCAAGTGACGCCATTAACACGCGGTCGAGTAGATCCCAGTCTTCTCCGCCCCACTTGTATTTGTAGTCTTTAGTATTCATTCCTAGTTGAACGCACATGCGCAGTAAAAACAAGAAGGAAACAAAAATAATCAAAAAATAGCGGGCGCGTAAAATTAGGAAGTTTCACGTCGTATTCGTGCAACGACGGTTATGAAATGTACAAAAAAGCGTGATGCACGTGCAAAGTTGTTGTTTTGTTATCTAAACTTATTACTTTTTGGCCGTTCTCGTTGCTGTCACCGTCGTCGTTACTTAAGCTTCCTATTGATGTGATCCAAAAAAATTTTGCTACCATGGTAACGTGACGTCACACTTCTTCTCTCTATATGAGAAGGGGATGCCCATATGACTAACACTGCAGTTATTTCTGAGATTGTTACTGGATACGGGCCGGTTTTTTCCCTTGTTTCTTATAGCGGTCCCGGAAGTCTTTGCGAAATTTAATTGGGCCCAGTTTCCCTCTCGTGACGATTGCCTCTTCTCGCCCTAACTGAACTTAACAGAGAGGAGAAGTCGTTACGTCACGTTGCCATGGTAGCAAAAACTCCCTATTATTGTGATCCACAAATTTTGCTACCGTGGTAACGTGACGTCACACTTCATCTCTCTATTCTGGTGTGAGAAAATGCTTTCCCCTAGTTTCGGCAAAGGATAAATTGTTTTAGTCTTACCTCCTACTCTTATCCAATCTGATTTATACATCGCCACTAGTCCGTACCCATTCATTTGCCAGAAACCTCGATGTTCCACAGAATTACTTCCTTGATCTAGGCGGCCCACTGCCGGGAAATAAACCATACGACCTGCAATAGTGTTCTAAGGAGAAGGAGAGATAATATTTACTACTATTTGATTTCATTGCTTTAATCTTTTTCCAGGAGCCTTTCTCTGAGGTATGAATGGTGATCTTAGTTTTTCACTTGGCACCAGTTTAGCGTTCGCCAAAGACGAAATTAAACCTTTGTTGAGTCCGTCTGCGAAACGGCGCCAAAATCCTTGTTCTGGGTCTTCAGCTTGCTTCCTCCACAGGTTTTCCCAAGGCTAAGTGGGGACTGGGGAACACGGGAGAGCTGGAGACAAGCGAGAAACGGGGGATGCTGGGAACGAACGAGCGCTTTCTCAAATATCCCTCAAAAGTGATCGCGAGCGACTGGGTACGAGGCTGGGTCTACAGCTGTGTTTCAGGATTTGAGTACGCGCCATGATTGCCGATTTGCCAATCAGGTTGAAAGGAAATTCGAGACGCACTTCCGGTAATTCGTTGAGTCCGCTGGGTGCCCAGTTCCCAGAATATGGATACCGGCGCTCCTTCGCAGACGTTACTAACCGAGGTTAAATTATATTTGAACGTCATCTGTGACGCAGAGTACACCAGTTTTGTGGCTAATAAAGGAAAAGGGAAGTCAGTTAGTTAGAAACAATTATTGGATGAGGTTTCTGTGATATCCAGAATCATGAAGTTCGAGGTAAGTGTTATCAACCAAAGGTCTCGGATGATATCACTTACAGAGCTTGATTATTCCGCAAATCACAGAAACCGAATCTAACAATCGTTTTTGAGCTCACTGGCTTAAGGCTCTCTGCTATCGTCAGTGAATGAATGAATGAATGAATCAATGAGTGAATGAATTTGTAAGGCCCTTTCTATCAATCTCGAACGTGGAGAAACGCTTGACCTTCGGAGCCGAAGGGACTGGGTTCGATACCCGCTATTTCCTATTTTTTTACTCCGTTTTATAAAGCGTTGTAATGACAAGGTGGAATGGTGATACTGGTTGTGCTTGGGACAGTTTAAAGAAGATATTATGCTCCGTTATTTTAAAAATGTACGGTGTTTTGGGGGTGGAGCGTTGCGTGACGACACTAAAAACGGCTATGTAGGAGACTAACGGTCACACGGAACACAGATTGACATCATGCATTGCGCAAGTAACCTACAGATTATTCAATCCGCCACATGCTAGCAGATAAATCTTTAAGCTTCGGTAAAACGGGCAACAATAACGTGCAACTTGTTTTGCAAAATTGCTGCAAAACGAGTGAAAGGCGATGTTGCGCGTTTTACCACACTTGCTCAGACCTGTTAACAACCTGGTAAAACGCGCAACATCGCTCTTTAACTCGTTATGCAGCAATGTTACAAGACAAGTTGCATGTTTTTTGTTCCCCGTTTTTCCGTACCTTTAGGTTGCCCTGATTTTCAAAATTAACTGAAGACTTTTAACGAATGAGAAGACAGATCAGATAGTGGGTATTATGAATAGAATAACCTTTCGAACGCTATCCATGATGTCTGCAGGCACATCAATGTGAAGATCAAACACGAAAAGTATGTCATGCGCATTAGGCACTGCTTCGGCGGCTTTGTTTAAGGCAAGAGTCCTGGAAAATTTTCCCATTAAATTAATGATTGTATGCCTACTTCGGAGTAACGATGTGCTAAACGCCTCGCTCATGTTAATATCTTTACTTTGAAAATCAGCGATTACGACGTGAAAGTTCGTGTCACCGGTTAATAAGCTCGCAATGCTGAGCTGTTTGAGGAAATGATGCACCCATAGTCCTTGATCCTTGACAGGGACGATAAAATACACTGTGGCGCTGTTGTTCCAGTTCATTCCTTCAGGATGGCACAATATATCACTTCCGTTTCTCTGGTACACGTGTTGTGCAAAGCGAATTGATCGATTAAATGGGTCATACATTAAACCAAGTTCAAGATCCAACAAAAACCGATCGCCATTTCCGGGGTCTGATTTTTGTATCACTTTGTAGACTTTTTTTAAGTAATACTTCCTAAAAAGGAAAACAAAGGAAAGAAATGAAAGACGAATACCACCAGAAGAATTGAAGAACTACCGGTTGAGTTAAAGTCTACGTTGTGTGGTATAAGTGCACATATTACCCTGCGTAGCAGGCGCAAAAAGGGGAGGGGGGGGGGGGGAGCAAAGCGGAAAACCCCTCCCCCCCAAGCCCCCCCCCTTTCTCCCCCCTCTTCCCCCACCCTCTTCCCGCGCCACCTCCCCCCCCTCCCCCCACCACTATAAAAGAACTTTAAAAAGAAAAAAAAAGAAAAGATCAAAAGAACACAACCAGCCAGAAGATTTGAGAAACACCGGGGTGATTAAAAGTGCGGTTTGTTTGGTAAAGGGGAAAAATTTCCCCTGCGTGGAGGGCACAAAAAGGGGGGGGGGGGGAGAAAAGCGCAAAACCCTCTCTCCTCAATCCCCCTCCCTTTCTCCCCTATGTCTCCTACCCGTTTCCACGTCTGCTACTCAGGCTATGCACATATCATTATTAGAGACCTTTAGATTCGAGGGCGACCCAGACGGCTACATAAACGAGATTTAACTTAAATTTTTTAAGCGTATTCTAAAACAAGACACTTCGGAAAGCATCATTGTACTTTTTTTCAGCAGAAAGGTCAGCACGGTTATTTTTGTTGAACGGGTTGAGTTTTCTTAGGGTCGATGATGATGATAATAATTCGTTTTCGTTACTACGACACTCACCAAAACTCGTCGGCGTTACTTTGACGCCGACCATCTCGTATGACACTGGCTCACTCGCGCGCACTACTAAGTGTCTAGAACAAGTCAAACAGGGTCTAGAAAATCCGGCGCGTCCTCCCGGCGTAGTCGGCCTCGTCCTCTTAAAATCTAAAGGTCTCCATTGCTTTGGTGGATGACAACATGACTGACAGCGGCAGTCAGTGACGTTTTCTATACTGCATGACGCCGGTCCGAGCTTCCTTAAAACTGTTAAGGGGACTGTTCAGGATTATTTTTATTTCCCATTTGACTAAAGAATGTAAAATTGCACAGGAAGTTAAGTTCGCGCGTATTGCTCATGATTAACAGCTTAATCATAACTATAACAAAATTGTCAAATCTGATTGGCTATCAACTGCCCTGATTTCAGCCTTAATTGGACAGTTTAATAGGTCAGTACGCGTCATGCCTAAGTAATTGGACAGCACGCGCCATCACGCGCGCGCTTAAATGGCTTTCTTTTTTCACTGCTAGCGAAACAAAATTTCGAATTTCTTGTGTTTTGATTTAAAAAATAGCCTATTTATATCACAAATTTTGTAACAGAACTTCGTGACGTCCAATTCGGTCTGTAATCATAATCGTGATTAAACAAATCATACTCGTGATTAAACAAATCGGACTCCCGCTACGCGGTCGTCCGATTTTGTTAATCACTCGTATGATTACAGACCGAATTAGACTCCACTCAGTCTTGTTACCATTACTTATATAAAGGTCCCAGCTAACGATAAAAGTGGCATGGAAAAGTGCAGTGGTTTGTTGGAAAAATAACTGTGGTGATCTGTTTCGCGTTTTGTTAAATGGATTTTTACGGATCTTAAAGGGGAAACTTAAGAAAAAACAGGAACACACATTGCTGCCCTCTCATCGTTCATGAGAATATAGAATCTATAAAGAGTCTACTTCTTTCATACCTTGACTTAAAGTAAGTCAACAGCTTATTCACAACTACACTGACTTTTTTCCTGTCGGCAAGGGGACTGGGCTGGAACCAATGCCAGGGGCTGCCTCTACTCAACATGTCTGTGTCGTCTCTTGGAAAAACTAGTGATTCGTTGATGCGCCACCAGCCAGAATACCTTGCGATCGTCCCACGAATCAGGAAGCTTGGATTGTACGGGCATGTTGGTAACGAAGATAACTCTTTTGATACTGATGCCGCCACTAAATCCAGTCGGCTTTGTTTTCTGGTAAACAATTTAGCAGGGACAGACGAACTTGTAAAATGAGGGCCTAGTAAGAAATAGCCCAGGAAAGGTAGGCTTGCTATCACTATACCATACAAAATGGACCGCGTGTCAAATGCTCTCGGCCGTCTCCTTCTAAGACAAGTCCACCAAAACCTCATTTTTGTTTCATCGGCTTTTCTCTGATAACTGAAACAATAAATTATGATTATAAATAATAACTGAATAGAACTGAATGAGTCCAATTTGGTCTATGATGCACAGGATATGAAATAGTCCGATTTGTTCCATTTGTATGTTTTAGTGTCAGTAAAGAAGTTATAGAAAGATTGTTATTTAACATCTATATTGGGTAAGCTTATGTTTTGTACTATGAATACAAAAATCGAAAGCTGTAACACAAATTAAGCTAACTAAAAGAAAAAAAATAAATATAAAAACAGAGATGTCTGAACAAAGAGATATGAACGAAATGGCTTCCCCTCGAGGGAAAATCACGAAAGGTATTCTTTCGATATTATTGTTGGTGAGAAGTGTCAATGTTCATTGGTGGTTGTTGGAAGTTGGCGGTCTAGAGTGTCCTGTGGCGTAGGCTAATGTTCTTTTAATCAATACTGCTTCTTAATTGTTGTACTACAACCTCATAGGATAGTTGGTATTTTTGGCTAGTGCCCCCGCCAAGCCCAGGACGAGGACAAAGTGACTATTTAACTCTTTAAAGCTCTAAGAGTGATCTTTATCAAATTTCTCCTGTAAAATGAATGCTTTACAAAACACGTTGGTGATGATAATAAAGGAAATGATCACACAATATGAATCTAATTAATACTTCAACAAATTCTCCCCGTTACTTTTATAGGAATCGTATAGGGACAACAAATGAGAATCTGAATTCTGATGTTAAGGGTTAAATGTAAAAAAAAGGGTTAATGTAGATCCGCTTAATACCGAGTTTTGACTGTACTTGCACTTGATCGATGTTTATAGTGTTACAGCTGAATTCTTCGTTTACCTTGCATCTGTGGATTCCCTCGGTCATCGATAACAGAGATGCCAACCTCTGGAGATCTTAAATCTGGAAACTCTCTCTGTTTCACTACCCCCACCCCCCCGGAAATTCAATGAACCCCGCCCCCCCCTCCCCACTCCCTACAAATATGGGAATGACAAAGGACATTATATAAAGTCTTACATGAAGTACATACTATCAAAATTCGCGATCATTTCGCGATCATCGTTTGATGCCAGAAATAATCTTTGTCAGTGACTAAATAGGTACAAAAATGCCTCAGAAACCGTACTACGAATACGAAAAATTCAAGTTTTGATCTAAAAATGTGCTAAATCTCAAACTAAGTCACCGAAAAGCTCAAAAGATGATTTTATCCGGGGAGATATGGTGACCCATACGTGAGACCAGGATTTTGGTGTTGTATCCGGGAGACTCCCGGATAATCTGGGAGAGTTGGCATGTATGCGATAACGGCTTAATAGGGCAAGGCCACAAAGCTAAACCCAAGCACGATTGACGAGGCTTACTCTGAGAAAGTTCTTTTAAACGAAGCGATCACCTGACCGAAGCGAAACAGTAACAGTAGTATACGTAACAAGCGGAACTACCCCAGTGGTAAACATATATTTCTAGTATTTTTCAAAATATTGGATACGTGGATGACTTTGTCGTGATCGCATGAGTCTCACGAGTTCCGCTCTCATGAGTTGACAACTAATTTCTCACGTTCACGCTTCTTGAAAAGTCAGGAAAATAAACTTTTGGAGCTGATTTGTAGGACCCGACTTTTCTAAGCAGTCTAAGTAATAAAGATAATACGGTGGCCTGTAAAGTGCAGACCTGCCAACTCCTGATAAAGGAAAATCTGAAAACTCATGAAAAAAATCTGGAGATTCTACAAAAAGTAGTAACTTAAAGATTCTTTTTTTTCCATTGGGGGAGCTATTAAGTAGTTAAGCCAACTAATCATGGCCAAAATGTTAGACAAAGTCCCAACAAGGCTTAAAAAGGCACTAGCATTCCCCATTGAATTTCCATTTTATTCAACAAGGCCATTAATTTCATTTCAGAATGATTTTTCCCAAAAACCGTGACATTGGGAGTGTTGCCGTGAGAGAAAAGATAAAACAATCGTGAGATTTACGGCGGAATCGTGAGATTTGGCAGGTCTGAAAGTGCCCAATCAAAAAGAATGCTACGCATAAATTATGACAAATTACGAAATTCTTGAATCGACGCCATTACGAGGCAGGATAGCTGAGCCGACAGGTGCAACGGTAAAATAAAGAGCGACGGCAAAGCAGATTTCAACTGACGACCAACACAGTATAATTTCGCTGCAAAATGACACAAAACTATTAATATAAATTCATGGCAAAACAAATTTTATAACTCACGGCAAAATACAACCAATTCGCGGCAAAACAATATTAACACACCGTAAAATAGAACCAATTATAATTCACCGCAAAATAAAAGTGGCATCAAAAACAAAGAAGTTCAGTTCACTGGTCTAAGGCGAAAGGCTGCAGAATATAACGAACGAGAAGTAATGCCTTGATTGTTTGTCTAGTTAGAGAAGCTCGTGAAAGAAGACAGAGTTTGTTTACCATTTACAACAATTTTCCGGGAAATCTGGTTGGAAATTAAATAGAACACGACTTTTTTGGTCTACCCGACTGAAAATATTACCGGGAGCAACGGAACATCTGAAAAGGTAGTCCTGTTTTCCGGCTGGAATATTCCAGACGAAATGAAAAGTTAACAGTTAAGTGATATTATAATAATGTTAATGAAAGCAACAAATTTTTGCAAACAGAAATTTTCTGACATTTTTCTGTCCCGCTGTTGACCCGGTGGCACACTAACTGACATTACTATGTGCAAAAGGCACTAAGGCAGTACCCGACAACCTCAGCCAAAGAGCTGGTTGTAGATAACTCAACGAACAATTCGTCTTCTAATATTAACAAGATTTCCGTATTCGGAAAAGGATAATACTGTTTTCACGGACCCAAAAGATCGTCCCCTGTTTTCTTGTTTACCGCCTTTTTAGATCACGTGATGAGTTTTTGTTGTTTTAACGCTTGACAACGTATATTGTTTGTACGGATTGCTTGGTCTTGTCCGACGTATATATATCTTTGGTTGTACGGATTGGTTTGTTTCGTCCAAATAAAGTGTTAACGCCAGTTTACAAGTGGATTTACACCTTACAGTTGGAGTTCTAACTATTGAGACTTTGTTAATAGAAAGAAATGCTCGTGTTTAAACCGGTCTTTCTGAAACAGTTTCGGCAGTTTCATTTCTTAAAACCCTTGGATATCTTTATGAGGCTTTTGAAATACGCGAAAAAGGTACGTCTGCAAAAAAGGTAACATTGAGGGAAGTGAAAGAGGAAGTACGCTCGACTAAATCTGTATCGAGGTACAAAAAACTGCTGACAACGTAGGTGGAAAACCTACCCGCGGTTTCTCACTTCAACATAAAACATTTATAGTACTTTGAACTACGCCCAAGACTTTGGAAACACAGTAAAGGAATCGCTTAAAAGAACTACGAGTTCGAGGAGAGGTGGGTTACACTCACGAAATAAAAGTCGAATTGTCTTGTGTCAAATACTTTCATGCCTTAGTGTCAGCACTCTCAACTGTGTCTCTCCTATCGGTGCAAACAGTGATTGAATTCACCATTTGAATTCCAAAAATAACGGTCCAGTTTGTTAGTTAAGACTATATTTTGGCATTGATAATGTTGGCTAGTCGTCTGTTGCAATGGACTGCAAGGATTAAAATTGGATTGGCAGGACATGTATGACCCTGTCGGGAAGATCAGTACGAGATCATGACTGGTGTGTCTGGATCTATCAGACTGGTGTCATATTTAACAATTATTCCTCGAGCCCGAATGGGCTGTGAGTCAATAGCCCATGAGGCCGAAGGCAAAAACAAGAGAGACAAAACAACTTTAGCTAGTTAAAGCTAGGCTTTAAACCTTTTTGCCGCCGAAAGGCTGGCGCTTTGCGCTACTAGTGGGCTATAACATATAGCCTAGTAGTAGCTCAACCAATCAGAACGCAACATTGATAATACAACACTAGCTGGATTTTACTAATGATGGTTATACGACTTATATTTCAGTTACTATTAAATTGTACTAGTGGCAGAGTTCTTGTAAATTTATACCTTGATTTTAGTAGGACCTACCCCTAAAAGTGATTGACTTGCTGAAAGAGGGAAAATTCGGGTTATGAAGGAATAATATTCGCTGTAGGAAAGTGAAAGTTAATAGCTAACCAAAATTAGTAGTTAACTGAGAATTGGCCAGAAAAATAGTAGTTAACTGATATTTGGCCGAAAAAATTTTAGTTAACTGAGAATTGGGTACCCCATTAGCACCCTCTACCATGGCACTGTCGAAACTTCTATGCTACGAAATGTCGTTACAATGCTCATTTTTCAGATTAAAAGAATCAATTTAAGTAGTACTTGACTTTTTTGTTTACAGGGCGTACACAAACTAATCAAGCGACAGACAAGCCATGCGAACGACTTCGTAAACGCTAAAAGTCGATCGGTAAAACTCTACGCAGGACCCGAGAGAAACCTCTGCTCGCAGGGTATTCCTTTTTTTTTGAAAATGCCAAAAATTGGAGTTGGTCGGATGACGCTAAACGGAGAAAAACATGGGGATAGCCCCCAAAAAATTTTTTTTGTCCCCGCCCGCTTCCTTTTAGGCTGCCTTTCTTTTTATCATCATTTGTTTTTGGAAAAGATGGAACGAACAAAAACCAACAACCTTTTAAATCTTTTACCACCAGTCGTGTTGCATAAAAAAACGGTTCTTGTAAAAAAAGCGTCATTTTTATGTAAAAAAGCTGTTTTTTTACAAATTGAACGGTTGTAAAAATACTGCTTTTTTGCAAAAACATATTTCCGTAAAAAAGTTCCTTTTTTATGTAAATAGCCTGCTTTTTTTACAGAAATATATTTTTGTAAAAAGGCTGCTTTTTTACAAAATATATGTTTGTAAGAAAGCTGCTTTTTCATGTAAAAAAGCTGTATTTTTAGGGACTGGTCAAAAAGTATAGGGTGGGGTGGGCCGGAGCATTTGGAAATGTGGTTGATAAAAAACACATAGCCTACCCCCTCCCCTCGGCACAAAAATGACTGACCTACCCCTAAAGCAAGGTTAGAAATTGCATGACCCACCCCCTAGTTAAAACATGGATATTTGGTTTCCTCTTAATAATCCAATAAAACCTTGTTCTGTGCTTGACAAAATTTGTTGATACACTGCTACAACCAATATCAAAATCACAGAAATCATACCTTTCACTGAAAAGACAAATGTGAAAAAACCGAACATTTGTTGTTTCGATGGCGTTATGAGTCTTGACACAAATATACAGCAAAACGAGGGTATATTGAAATTGTCTGTCACAAAGCATATGAAAATTTCTACAAAGACAACCAATTCCTAAACATTACTTGCCGGAAATGCTTAGATTAATCCTCAAAGAAAATTTCTTCCACTTCAATGGAAAGCACTACCTACAAAACCATGGAACTGCAATGGGCACAAAGACAGTAGTTTTGATTCCTTTGCCAATATTTTCATGACATATATTGAAACAACAACTCTAAGCAAAACTGTCTTTAGAACAACAGTTTGCAAATGCTACAGACACGATATCTTTTCCCTATGGGACATGAGTAAACCAGACATCGAAGACTACATTGACTCGAAGCAAACTTACATCACCCAACTATTGAATTCGCGGCCGCAACATTTGACACTGAGACTGCGTTTTTAGACACGGTTGTATACAAAGGCACAAGATTCAAGGAAAAATCTATCCTTGACGCAAAGACACATTTTAAACAAACGGAAACCTTCTTGCACACACATTTTACCTCGTGTCGCCCTCCAAATGTTAAAAAAAGATTTGTCAAAGGAGAAGCCTTGAGAATCCTACGAAAAACCCCTCAGAAACAACCTTTGAGGAAAATAATTCAAATTTAAAAAAAGAAACGCTTGATAGACGGAGGCTACCCACAATCTTTGATAGAAAACCTACTATCAGAAAGAGAATTCACAAAAGGGATTCTAAACTGCTAAAACAAAACAACAAGGAGGAAAAAGAAATATTGCCATTCGTGACAAAATACCAGCCCTCAGTGTCTACTATACAGGAAGCTTGAATGAAAAAATGGAATCTTATACAAAACCAACTATAACTTCAATAAATTTTTAAAGAACCACCAATCATTTCCTTACAAAAAGGAAAATCATTTAAGGACATGCTCGTTAGAGCCAAAAAAAAGGTTAACAGAGGGTTCCACGCCCATATAGATGTGCGTCCTGTCACCCTTTGTTCCAGCTGGCTTTCTTTTGTATAACAAATGTAGTCAACTGTCTCGTTAGTAGTTAGTGCCTATCTATCCAATAAAATAGGGTGACCCACCCCCTAAGGGTAGCTGAAAATTGTACGACCCACCCCTTGCACAAGGCTCAAAACCTCATGACCCCCTCTCTGCTCCGGTCCACCCCCCCCCCCCCCCCCCCCCC